GAAAGCTGGAGGAAGAAAATAGAGCGAGAGAATAAATTTAAAATATTGCTGAGTAAGACTCTAGGCAGAAAGGCAAAGGGAGCTCGCTTAAGAAGGAAGAAGTGTGAGGGAACTCAAAGATGCATTATATTGGTAAAGAAAAAAGTGAAAGTTGGAGAAAATGAGATGAATGATGGTAAAGGCAAACCTGAGAAATTCTCCCCCAATGTGGAGCAAGGTCAGCTCTAAGAGCACAAGATGCATAATGAAAGGCTAGACAAAGAGCAGAGTTCTCATATACAGACAGTTGTTCTGAAAGAATTAGAAGCTAGATTAAAAGCAGCCAAAGCAGTTAAGCATATTATACGAAAATAATAAAAACAGATCCCACCTTCTTGACTTTAAAAAGACACAGACCTGAAGACTGAGTCCTTACCATGTACCAGAGACCGTAACAGAAGAGAGAAAAATAATTTGATACAGTTTGGCAATTTTTCTGTTAATTTCAGGGATAAAGCAAAGAAATTACCAAACATCCTGATCAGAAAAAGTAGTTTAACCCCCAAAGCAGAAGTTAGCATTAGAATTCTCTGCAACATTAAATGCCAGAAGACAATGAAGCAATGTCTCTAACTTTTACAGGAAAATGTTTGTGACCCAGAAATACTAGACTCGGCCGAGGTGTTATTCATTAGTGAAAGCAGTGGAAAGATATTCTCAGATATGTGATTTCTCATAAATACGCCATCCGCATACTTTTCCTGAGGAAGTTGCTCAAAGATGCACTCCAGCAAATTAAAGCAAATTAAACAGTTCAACCATGGTGAACTCATGAAATAAAAGGATTAGTGATGAGCAATAGAAACCTTATGATTATAAAATAAAAACTTCAAAACATGGCAATATTTTAAAATGTTTATTGAAAGATAAAATTATAATGAACAATGATGAAATGATCCCCAAATACAATACAGGGAGATAAAAGAAGAAAAACCTATTACTTTTCTCTACTTAGATAAGTTGCAGTAGATACTAATCTTTGGAATTAATACTTCAACTAAAAATTCTTAAAAAATAATGAATACAGGGAAAATCTCCCTCAGTCAAAAGAAAAAAAAAGCTTATCTTTATATTGTCTTTCCCTAGGACCTGCACATGTTCTTTCTTTAGCTTTGCTTAAAAAACATACATGCTTTATGTTTCTAGCTACATTAAAAAAGAAACAAAGAAAGAAAAATATACCAGAACAGAAACATTGTATCTTGATCCCACTGTGGGGGGATGTTGTAGTATGTAAATCTTCAGTAAGAATGGGCATGAAACCATATGCGTTTTTTTAAAAGTACTTATAATTTGACATAGCTATATAATCACAGTTACCTTAAGGGGAAGACATTAACAAAACAGTGGGCTCCAGGTAGCAGAAAAACCTGTACTTTCTGTTCCTCTCTGTTCATATATTGGTAATACTTTATATATGAATCTTTACAGTGGAAAAGTAAACTTCATGAAAATAAAAAAATCCTAAGGAAAAAAAAGAAAAAATCCTATAGATAGAACAGAGTTACAATTAGAGGCAGATTTATGGTATTAGATGCCTTGTTCTTTCCCCCGAAATTAAAAATAAACTAAGCATTTAATGTAAGGCATTAGGGAAAAAAACAACACAATAAAACAGATCATCCAGCAACTGAAGCGGGGAGGGGGGGGGTTGCGGGGGGAGTCAGGATTTTATAAAACCATAAACGGAATAGATTTGAATAAAAAGTCTAAGAGTTGAATCTTTAGAACAGACAACAGAATTAGTAAACTAGCTCATTTGCTCAGGATAGCAAACCAAGATATACAAAATAATGTATTTAAATCACAAATTCAGAGGAAATAAAATGTCTAGCTTATGCTAACTATGAAGTGAAAATTCTAGTAAACATTAGCAAAACTGATTCAAAGACCACAATACTGGAATTGACAATAACTACAGAAATATCAAGAACACTGCCACGGAGCCACTCCGGTTGTTAAAGTGACTGTCTCTAAGTATTATGGCCTATTTTTTATCCTACTTTGTGCTCTTGAGTTGTCACAAAAATCCTATAATAAGCAGGGACTAATTTTGCATCTGAATAAAGACTAACTAAAACAACAAAATCTTTCCCTAAGTAGGGAGTTCGTTCTTGTGGAGCTTTTTTAAAGGTAGAAAAGAGCTGCCTTTCTAAAATTTAAGAGCAGCAAAATACTGACATGCAGTCAAAGGAGTGCCAGGGTTCAGGGAGCCTGGTAATGGGCCCAAAAGGCCTTGTGACTCTGGGCTGACCAATGGCCTGGAGACCACTAACGGCAAATTGAATTTCTAGATCACCGGTCGCCTTCATGGCTCTCTGAAGCCTCTAGAATGTGAGAGCAGACCCACCAATTTTGAAGTGCCATGCAAACATACGAATTCTAATCATTCTTTGAGGTTCAATGGAATCTCTATCACTAGAAAGCCATTTACAGAGTGCCCCAAATTTTGCACATCTCAATCACAAGGTTTTGATAGTTTGTTTTTACTAGTAACATGAATAGACAAAGTGCTCTTTACTACATTCATGAAATAAGTAAAGGAAGATCTGGATTTCTGATTTGGGCCACTCTGGATATACTACACTCAGAAAAAAAAAACTACATTGCTCACTCTCATTCCCAATGAAATAAAGCTGAATTATGGCAAGGCTCTCTCCTGTATGTTAGAAACACAGCCGAATATAATCTATGCAGGTAAGAAGATTGTCTTTTCTCCATTTCTTTTTGGAGAGGAAAATTGGAATGTGTACTTAGATATGCTGTTGTTCACTCGGACCCATTGTTAAAATGCCCGTTTGGTAACATCACTTTGATAGGATCAGATTAAATGATGTTTTGTTCTCTGTGGATCTTATACAGCGAGAGAGGTAAATGAAAGAGGATGTGAGAAATAGAGGCACATCCACAATGTGACAAGGGTACCACAACAGCAGATGTATGACCTGAAGTCACGTTTTTTCCAAGCTGGTGTTCCCAAAGAATTTAGCTTGTTCAATTGTACCTCGACTTAATCCAACGAATTAACTTTGAGGAAGTTGAGGATTTGTGGCTCACATTAGCTTATCAAAGGGCATGTGAGTTTCCTCCCCCCTCCACCAGAATCTAAATTTTGTAGAACTCAGTGTTTCCCCATTACGTGTGTCCACAGAAGCTTCTTTCCGGCAATCCTTTATGAAAAGGTCAGGGCTCCTGTGGGTCGAAGGACACACTTTGCTCAAAGTCTATTTACAGTGTACATTAAATGGGGAAAAGAGAAAAACCTTCTTCAAACACCGGCTTCGTTTTTGAAGGTTTCCTGGCATGAAAATATAATCAACTTGCACCTTTCTCATTGCATCAACTTCTTTGGGTCCTACTAAAACAAAGTAAAGCACTTACAGCTTTCTTACACTGATACTTCCTCCTTCTCCAAATGGATTCCCAGCAAAGGGGAAAAATCTATGACCTACTTAGTGTTACTTTGAGGAAAGCTGAACTGTCAAGTTCCTGGTACGGCTTCACCTTGATATTTTTTCTCTTTAATGGAGGATCTCTAAACAGCAGAGTATGGCTGCCTTTTAATCCTTGCCTTTTAAGTTAGAGAGGGGTGCTAGAAATAAGATGGTTTCTTTCTCTCTTCTCTCCCTAATATCTGACCCCCCTGCTTAAATATTGTCATTAACTCACAGGGGTCAGTGAAGTCTGCTGTTCACTCATAGGTTAACTCAAGAAATCTTTGCTGGGTGCCCGCACTGTTCCAGGCACTATTCTAACATTGGGTATATGTACAAGGTGTATGGGGGTGTGAACAGGACTGACAAGCTTATAAACCTAGTGGGGAAGATAACCAACAAACACACAGGTAAATATACAATTTGCAGACAGTGCTGAGTGCTAGGATTAAATCAAAAAAGGAAGCCGAGCAGTTTTTTTCTCCCCAGGTGAGGGGAGCACTATGTACATGGTAGTCTGGGAAGGCTTCTCTGTGGAGGAGACTTCTGAGCTAAGAACCAGATGGCGAGGAGCCGGCAGATTTTTCTGGATCTGGATAAATGGGCCAGAAACAGGAATCTAGAGAAGTCTGGAGTATGCTGGGCCTATTTTCATCAAGAGGCTCCTGGATTTAGGTGTGCGCTTTGGCTTGCAGAGTTAGATTTTGGAACTCAAATATGTGGGTTCCTTTTAATCTCACAGGAAGGACTGCTGTTTGCCCAGTGGGCCCCTGAAGCTCTTCTCCGTTTCTGTCCTTCGGGAGAACAGCATTTCTCAGTGGTATACAGTTGGGCCTTGTTAAGAGTCAGAGCAATCTGAATAACAGTTGCTATTAATATACTGGTTATGTGAGAGGTGTGCAATTATACAAGCGTCGGGAGTTCAGCTCAGATATGAAACTCATCTCAGTGCTGCTCTAAGATTCGACTGATCTGGCTCCCGTCGCTCTAAGCTCCTCCATGGAGAGCTCCCCCACCCCACCACACCCCCGGCCCATTCCGACTATTAACAGACTAATTTTTATCTAAATCGATTTCCTTTGCGATGAAATGCTAGTGTTGGTTTATCTTTAGAAATAAGAAATTGCAAGTTGCACAGCCACTGAATTATGAACTTAAGAACAAACCATATGGGTTCTAGAATTCCTATAATAACAAATACATTTTGGGAATCAACAGAGCAAATTACCTAGCTCACTCTTAAAATTCATCCTTCTTTGCTGTTTGTTTGTTTCTTGAAAGGCAAGTAGGAAGGAGGGTGACTTTATGCACCAACTGCTCAAAAACCCAGGCAGCAGAGAACAGGGGTTTGGATTAGTCAACTCGCTGACCCTATGGAACCCTTTCTTTTTTGCTGCCTACCCCAGCACAGTTTGGCTGGGAGGAAAAAGCCTTGATAACATTGAGAGCAATTCCCCCTCCCTCCTTCCACTCTTTTGCACCCCACCCTACCAGCCAGAAGCAGAAGTCTCATGAAAAGGTTTTGAGGCAAGCATCCTATTATGGTCTCTTTCTGTCCCAGTGGACTCACCGAACACGTCCTTGACCTTGGGACACAGGCAGAGTTCAAACCAAGTCTGTGCTGTTGGGCTGCTCATCCCCCTTTCCTGGAAGACTCCTGACGATACCCTCTTTGCTTAAAGATTGTAAAGGTAACTAGTGTTCTTGCGCAAGATGGCCAAGGTGTAGGAGAGAGGCTGACCTTTGACTCTGGCAATCTCTCGAACCGTATGCAGGGCCAGGCCCGGGTGGGCATACTGGCAGACGCTTTTGGGAACCCCACGAGGCAGGAAGTAGGGCGCGTCGGTTTCCACGACGATTCTGTCCAGTGGGATCATTTTCAGAGCCTCGCGGGTCTCCCAGGCGGAAGAGTAGGTCAGGACGGCTGTGAACCCCACAGACATGTTGGGAAAATACTTCAAGAGGGGCTCGATGAGCGGGTAGGTGCCCGTGAAGCAATGCCTATGGATCTTGTAGTCAGGGGGCACTCTTCTTTTCATGATGCCCAGCAGATCTTCGTCAGCTTCTCGGCAGTGGATCACCAGGGGCTTCTTCAGAGACACGGCCAGCTGCAGCTGTCTCTCAAACACCCTGTGCTGTTGTGGAACCGGGGTGGTGCACTTGTAAGAGTAATCTAATCCCATCTCTCCAAACGCTATGGCCTTGGGGTGCCGTAAGGCGTACAGAAGCTTTCTTTCTTGAGTGTCATTGTAGTAACGTGCAAAATGGGGGTGACAGCCGAAGGCCCCCCAAACCAGATCATCTTTCAGCAGCTCCTCCCAGAGGCCATCCCTTAGTGTGCGAGGATCACAGAAATCAGAGATGCAGCCCTGAAATTCCTTAGGAAAGGTATAGTTGTATATTTCTATGAACTTGCTGAAGGTCCCTTTGAAAGACAGCTTGGAGTAGAGGATATCCAAGTGGCAATGGGTGTCAATGAAACCATGACCTAGGCCTCGATTCCAGTGGCATCTGGGCCAAAAATTAGATGCATATTCTCCAAAAGGATATGACGGGGTCTCCTCTTGGACAGTTTGCTCCTGGGCTTCTAAACTTCTGGAGAAACGAGAGGCATGAAAGTTCGGGGACGGACCTTCCTCTAATGCCTTCCAGTCTCTGGACCAGTTTTGGAAGTGCATTTCTGAGCCGGAGGGATAATCACTGAAAAAGCTGCGGCTGTTCCTCCCGGCCTGGGGTGTGGTGTCGCTGCTGCTGCCCACAGAGGGAGAGTAAGAAGGCTGGTGAATGCTGCTCCAGCAGCTGGTATAGGCCTGCCGCAGACCCCTGTGCAAATGAGGTTGGTCCGGACCACCACCCGTGGTGAAGGATGGAGGCTTTGAAACTCTTGAGAAACCCAAGGAGACTGGCCTCTCCTGAGGGAATCTGGCTGCAGCTAGCTCTTCTACACCAGGAGGGTGACTAAGTGAAAAGGGGCGCTCAGCGATGGCCTCCCTTTCTTGATGCTTTTGGATCTCTGAACAACAGTCACGTCTGTCTAGAAATTTTGGGACCGGACAGCCTTTTTTAAAGTTGAGCACCATTCTGTCAACTGGCAACTTCTTACAGGGTTTCTCCTGCGGATCGATAATCACTCTCCTGTTACCAAAACTGTTGACCTCTATCGCTATCATTTCCTTCTCCACTCTAACCTCGGGGACTGGCAGCTGCTTTTTTGGAGGAGCAGGGAAGGTGACGACCCTGGCAGGTCTTTGTCCAGGGCTGAGACGCTCTCTTATGCTGGGTTTTGCACCAACAGCTTCCTCTGCTTCTGGAATCAGTTTTCCCAGGATGCCCTGGATACCCTTCCCATAGATGAATGGAGCGCTTTGGTCATGCAGTGTAGCACTCTTTCTCCTGACGTTGTTTGGGTCCTTGGACTTACTGTGACCCTCAGCCTGGGCTGCAATTTCAGAGTTTGTGGAGTTACGGGAACTCTGTCTGGAACTTCTCCTACAGCGGTAGGCATCCTCGAGAGAAGCCATTTCCTCTAGGGAGGGGCTGAGCTCAGGAGAGTTGGAGCAGAGGGGAGTCCGCCAATGGGAGGAGCCCCAAGTACTCCCCCGCATCAGGCGTTTTCAGAGGCTCCACCCACACCTGGTCCTGAGGAATGGGGGGGTTGGGGGGGTGGCGGGAGGAATTTCCCCTGGCAGGCTGCACCCCTGAAAAACCTCAGCTTGAAAGCTGTAAGTCCTCTTTCTGTGCTCTCAGGCGGTGGGGGACACTGGCCTCTCCTGAAGGAAATAGAGTTAGGAGGTGGCTGGTTGGACGGGACACATCAGTGGGCTCCCAGAGGCATCCGCATTAACCGGGGGCCCTGAGTGTTGCCCTTGCTACTTAACTTCGCGCCGCTCCGGCCATTTAGAGACCTCGTCGCCATTCTTTCAGCTGCCCATGATGGTTCTCAGTGTTCCAGAGGTGGCAAAGCCCTGCAACAGAGTGCGTGACCTCAAAGCGCTTTGAAAAAATCGCGAAGATCCAAGATTTGGGGAAAGCTTGGTCTGGCGTCCAAGCCACAACTTGCTTCTGAGATTTCTAAGCACTCTTTCTCACAGAGCTACTTCCGGGGGGCATCAAAGCACTTCCGGGACTACAGAGCACTTCCGTTTGGTTTGGAAAACAAGGCCCTTCCAATGTTAAAGCCCTTGAAAAGACTGCAGGGTGCTTTGGGGACCACACACAGGGCGCCTGGAGCCTAGGCTAGGACCCAACACAACCCTGGAGCAAAAGGAGAGCCTTATACCCCTCTCCCCTGACTAGTCTTGGCCGATGGACATACTCAGCTCCCCCCTCCTCTCACACACACACACACACACACACACACGGGACTGTGCTCCTGCCCCCGCCTCCCTCCAGTAAGTTGGCCCCTGCCCCCGCCAGCACCCCCTTGCCTCTTCCACCTTGGCTCCGTGGTCCAGAAGCCCACTCCCATCTGTGGCCCAGCCAGGCCTCCCTAGGAACTGTCACCATCATTTGCTGTTTGTTCCCCCCCCCCCATTCTTTTAGAAAACATGGTTTTTAAAACATAGTTTAAATATACATGCTTTTAAGAAACATAGTTATAATTATAGCATATTACCATTTTCAGTTCTGTGGTTTTTTCTCTCAACATTTCTGCGTATCCTAAGTATTTTTCTTACTGCTCTGTAGTTTTCGAAAACATCATACTAGTGCCTTCATAATATTCCACAGAGTACATAGATGTGCCATAATTCACCAAACCCTTCCCTTTCTGTTAACTTTTTAGGCTCCCTCACTTGAGTTTTTTCTATTTAAAAAAAAGGAAAAAAACACTGCAAAGAACATCTCTGCACATATGTTTCTCCATATTTTGGTTTGTTTCTTTGGGCTACATGCCCAGAAATGGAGTTCCTGAGAAGTATAGGAATTTAAAAATGGTTCCTCATAGCAGTACATTGCCTAGAAGAATTGTAGTAGTTTAAAATCCCATCCATGATGAATAATCCCACCAGGCCCATTTTATAGGAGAAACAAAACTACTGCCTCATTTTAATTTGCTCTCATCTGATAATATCTTAGAGCAAACATTTCTCCTTTCTTTATTGACCCTCTGGTGAATTTTAAGTACTTTTTTCATCTTTTTTAAGGGTCTTTTCAAAGTTAACTAAATATATTTTTATAAAATAAATAGTCAAGTTCAGGTTTTTTTGTTAGTGTATTTATTTTTTACTTACATTTTCTTCTATTGAGGTTATAACTTGTTTTTCTCCTCAAATCTTAATTTTTTTCTTTCATAATTTTGTTTTTCCTCCTAAACCTAGAATGGTCATCCTCCCTTTCAAGGCTTTAACACTCACACACACACACACACACACACACACACATACACACACGTTTGGAGGGTGGTTACATGGGTGGATCTGTTATATTTAAGCTGGTAATCCCATCTGGTATGTATTTGGGATTATAATTTATTTTAGGTTGGGATATACTTGATGCTATTCCAAGTTAGCACTTTTTTCACTTATTGATATGTGGTTCCTTTTTCATGTGTTAAATTCCTATATGTGGAGAGCCTGGGTGGCTCAGTCGCTTAAGCATCTGCCTTCCGCTCAGGTCATAATCCCAGGGTCTTGGGATTGAGTCCTGCATCGGGCTCCCCACTCAGTGGGTAGTCTGCTTCCTCCTCTCCCTTTCCCCCTGCTATTCCTTGGCTTGTGCTCTCTCACGTTCTCTCTCTCAAATAAATGAATAAAATCTTTAAAAAAAAATTCTGTATGTAATAGGGTCTATTTCCAGACCATTTCTTTTTCACATACTATTATGATTCTTGTTACTGTGGTGTTGTACTATTTTAGTAATTGAAGCATTAAATTGTAGTTAGGTATAAAATCTGGGAGACTTAGGTCCCCTCCATTACCCTGACTTTGTATTATTTTAATAGGCAGACTTGTTTATTTTATCAGGTGGACCTAGAATTATTTTTTTCAAATGCCTCCAAAACACCAATGAACTTCAAATATGTTATTTTAGTCTGCTTATCCAGAATATATTCCACTATTTGTCAAGTTCATCTCTATTTTTTTTTTTTTTAAGTTCATCTCTATTTTTGAGTGTTTGTAGGGTTTTATATGGGTCACAGAGTCTTCATTACAACTATTTTTAAGTGTTCTGTAGTTTTTATTCTATTGTGAACATACTCTTCCCTCTCACCATATTTTCAGCTGGTTAGTGCTAGTACATGAGAATATTTTTTTATTACTTTTTTTTTTTTAATTTAAGTAGACTCCATGCCCAGCATTGAGCGCAAGGTGGGGCTTAAACTCACCACCCTGAGATCAAGACCCTAGCTGAGATCAAGAGTCAGACACTTAACCAACAGTGCCCCTAAGAATATTTTTGATTCATTTGTGGTCATGCTGAAATCTTTTATTTATTCTTAGTTACCCAGCCTTTGCTTAATGCCATTATTTTATCAACCTATAGTACTTTGGTCTCTTTCTTGCTAATATTTTTATTTCATGCCTTCTGACATTGTCCAGAACTCCTCAAAATGATATTAAATAATGTCATCAGTAGGGGCATTTTTGTTCCATCCCTGATTGTAGCAGGTGCACAGTTTACCTGACTATAATGGCAGATAGTTAGGCCATTGTTTCAGAGCAGATGCTTTTCAGTCTTGTTAAGGAATCACTCTTGTATTTTAAAATGTATGGGGAAGGAAAATGCTGCTGCCCTTTGTGCAGGTGGCTTATAACTGTTACAGGGCTATTGAATTCTGTTTGCCTGTATCTTAAATCCTAAGTAAGTGAAATAGTCTGGAGCAAGCTTGCACACTTATATCCCCTGGGGAGCTATAAAAATCAGTATTCTTGGACCTGCCCTGAAAGATTCTGATTTCATTGTGTGTGGGTATGTGTATATGGGTGTGGATACCACCCAAGCAGCGGGAGTTTTATCTGTAGGTGATTCTCATGGGTAGCTGAGGTGAGGACTCCTCTTCCATAGTTGACTTTTTTAATGGTCTGTCTGTCAGGCATTGGAATTCACTTCGTGGCTTTCCATCTGTTCAGGTATCCAGGGGAGTTGTGTAATGGGGTAATTTTCTTTTCCTTGAAAGTTTGAAAGAATCCATTTGTAAATCATCCTGGCTGGAGCTTTTTGTTGGGACAATTCTTTGGTAATTTTTTTTCCACTTCTTACTTGGTTATGGTTCATTCATTGCGTTTTGATAATTCACAGTTTTTACAAAAATCACTAATTGGGGTTTTATTTTTATTTTAAAGATTTTATTCATTTGACAGACAGAGATCACAAGTAGGCAGAGAGGCAGGCAGAGAGGGGGGGTGGGGTAGGGGGGCGTGGGGGGGGTGGAGCAGGCTCCTCGCTGAGCAGAGAGCCCGATGCAGGGCTCTATCCCAGGACTCTGGGATCGAGACCTGAGCCAAAGGCAGCCGCTTAACCGACTAAGCCACCCAGGCGCCCCTCAAAGTTATTTTCATAAAAGCTTGCATGATATATTAAGGTGATTTATATCTTATAATTTATTAAATTTTTATGTTATGCCATCTCTTCTTTCTGACTTTATACTTTCTTGATTATCTTTGCTAGAATTTTATCTATTTTATTTATTAAAGAAGCTCTTGGATCTATGTATTGTAGTTGCTTTTTTTTTCCTTTCAAGTTCTTCTATTTATGCTTTTATCCTGTTGTTTTTTACTTGTGTTCCTTATGACAAATTTTTACACTTCCAAAAAGTTTTGCTCAGTTCATTGCTCACGGAATCAAAACTCTTGACTGCATTTCAGAATGACCTGGGTTGCTCTTTAAAAAAATGCCCCTCTGACCTGATGTGATGCGGGCCAGGGAAGAAGGGTCATTTTTGGTGGAAAAAAGGTATTTTTATTAAAGCAGGGGGACAGGACTTATGCGCAGGAAAAGCTGCACTGGGGTTGTGGGGAGCAATCTATGATCTACTTGTAAGTTGGGCGTGTGTGTGCAGAGATAAAGGATGTTTCTGGAAGGATTTTCATATGTTAGAGAAGACTTAGAAGATCCTGGAGGTCTGGTTATTGTCAGGCTAAGGTTGCTTTTTGCCTGTAGCAAAACATTAGTGATTTTTTTGTTTTTTTGTCTTAAACTTTTTTATTATGTTCAGTGCAGAGAAAGACAATTATTGTATGGTGTCACTCATACGCAGAACATAAGCAAAGCATTAGTGTTAAGACAGTTGTGAGTTCCTGAAGGAGTGTCACACTCTGCCTGTCTCAAGTATTTTTCAATAGGCTGCAAGTCGTGAGATTTAATTTTATCTACATTTCTTTTGCCTTTGTTCTCCTCATCATTACCTGCCCCCAAGATTCTGATTTAATTCATTTAAGCTTGGGTCTGGTTGTTGTCACCATTATCTTCTTCTGCTGCTTCCTTTTTTTTCTTTTTTCTAAGTTTCCGATTCAATTTACTTAGGCTTGGGTCTGGTTCCTTTGTTCTTTCTCTCTCTGTCTCTCTTTCTTTTTCTTTTTTTCTTATTTCATAATGCAGAGCCAAGGCTGAGAATAGCTGAGTTAGAACATTGAACTGAGTAAGCTCTCTTTAAGTTCTTTTATGT